GAATTGAACAAGGAGAAAAAAAACAAAACAAAACAAAAAAAATACATATAAGCTTTTTAATTTTTTTTTTTATAATAAATAATTTTCATAAATTATTATTGGATTCTCTTGGTATCATTAATTGAGAACTGCATGATGGATCAACAGATGATCGTTGCTTCTGTTTTTTGTCCTTCATTCGTCGATTCTGAAATTTCGCAAAAAAAACCAATAAACCGATATGCACTGTATTCAACTTTAACAGATTATGAATAAAAAATTTTTCAGCAACTGAAACCGGTTGCATCAAAAAGATTTGATAAAGAACAAATTTTTTTTTTTTGCAAAATTTCTATTCTCTGAACATCAATTGAAAAACTTAATACAGGTAACTGTTAGTTAACTGTGTGTATTGTTGTAATAAAATTTGCTGCAAAAAATTATTATATTTGTGCATACATTTAAACCAGAAAACAGACCTGAAACCAAATTTTTACTTGCCGTTCTGATAGCACCAAATTTCTCGCTAATTCCCATCGTTTTTGCTTACTAACATAAGTATTAAATAAGAATTCTTTTTCTAGTTCCAATGTTTGATGCTTAGTGTATGGTTTTCTCTTCTTTCGCGATGAAATATTTCCGGTCCAATCTAATGATGAATCTAAAAAAATTACAGTTGAAAACAAACAGAAAATAATTATCATCAGTTGTGTTCCAAACTTTAGGTAATCTATTGGTTTTGTTATGCTGTTCACAAGTGTAATAGAAGAGTTGTTGAAAAGATGAGAGCAATGATCAAATTAATGTGATATTGAGCTGCTAGAAATCAATGAAAATAAAAAATAAATTATATCTAGATGCTCGACTACTGTAGCAGAAGCAAAATTTAATCTTTAATTTTGAGCGTAAATAATTTTTTGCAAACCACAGATGACTCACATAATGATTTGATACTACAGCAATTTAGGCTTAAAGCCATTTTTAAGCTGTTTGGTTGGTACAGCTAAATTTGTGCAATTAATAGATGCCAACAGAAACTGTAAAAAATTTGAAATGTTATTTTGAGGTATGGCCATTGTAAAATAGGCAACAACAGTTTTTGCTTGCTTAAACAGATACTTTGTTGAAAAACAACAAAAAAAAAAAAA